TATATATATATATATATATATATATATATATATATTATATATATATATATATATATATATATATATATATAGAGAGAGAGAGAGAGAGAGAGAGAGAGAGAGAGAGAGAGAGAGAGAGAGAGAGACAGGCAGACAGACAAACAGACAGCCAGAAATGGTGGTTTGTCGCACCGAGAAACGCCTGGAGCACTTTCAAACTATAGGTCAGGGCTACTCACCTATAATGAGCAAAGGTACAGTTAAACAAGTTCCAATATATACAAAGGTCCGGATAAATATTTTACATGCAATCATGAAAATAAAACAACTAATCTGAGTACTCCACAGTGTTCCCATATGTCCCCTAACTTACCCTACAGGCAGTCGAGGAAATGCACTTTCATCGCCAGGAACTTCGTATTCTCTTCCTGGAGTCTGGGGTCACGCAACAACACTCAGAAGGTCTGGATTCGGATACGGTTTAATATCATTTTTACTGGTCACATGTCCAAGATTCTCGACTTGAAAAAAAAAGCTTGAGAGAGAGCTTACTCTACTGAAGGCGACTTAAAACTCGTCTAATATTATTGCAATGAGCTTCCCACGTGTCTCCTAAAACTACGATGTCGTCCATATAATCAAAACCCACATCCCCGATCAGACCAGGCAGGACCTAATTAATGATCCTCCGGAAAACAACCTCATAAATCCATAAAATGTCGTTTTCTCTCGATTAGTGGGGCCCCTGCAGCTTTCTCAGCCTTGGTCCTCCAGCGTCCCTCCAGACCTACGGTTGCCATGGGAACGACAAATATTCTATTACTACATTCGACTTTCCCATCCTACACGTTAATGGACGAGGTGTTTGGGCGTGATGCATATACAGCCCTATGTGTATCCGCAAAATAATTTCCCATCAACATCTAGCATGGTAAACCCCAGGTATCTTTATTTTATCTACGTTAAAATGAGATGGACTTTCCCTCCACCTCCCCACCCCCACCAATGGACAGATTTCCTAATCTGTTTGTAGGGATGATTTAACTCCTTTAGCACTTTCACTTTGTATTAACGAAACTTCTGTTCATGTGTCGAACATTTTCTGTTACGCTTTTATCCCCAAGATAAATATCAAGTAACAGCTTTCCTTCACTATCCCTCAGGGACAGGATTTCAACAATGTCTTAACCATTTATACTATGTTCAATTATCTTATCCTTCATATTAGGAACAATTCAGGATGAACGAAAAAAAACTCTTGTAGCTATTAGTTTTTATGATGTTTTTTGTCTCCAAGGCTCCGGACAATTTCTCGCGAAATAATCCTTTTTCCCATAATTAAAGTGTTTAGAATCTGATTCTACCCTCTGACGTCTAATACTTCTCTTTGTTCAAAAATGGAACATCTGTCCATCGTATGACCTACAAATCTTCACGTCATAGTAGGTAGTACTAGACTTTGCTATGCGAGAAGAAAACACTATACTAAGGTACCAATATATATACTAAGAACTAAATATCTAAATACATGAAAATAACAGACACATCTCCCAGCGAGAAAAAAAATCACGTGACTCGCATGTGGGCGAACGACGGTTGAAAACATAGACTGTTATGTCTACTTATTGCTGAACTGTGCTGACCTTGCATTCCTCGCCTCTACCGCTGCGCTCTCCTACCCTCACTCAGCAACAAATATGCAACACTAAACTATAAATTATAAGAACTCTACTTCACTTCACTTCAATGCACAAATGAGAAAATAAATGCAAGTATCTAATGGTTAAAGCGACCCATTAGAAAATAACGTATGATACACACTAACTTCTACGTAGTTGACAATATGAAACTATATGTGAATCTAACACAGCAAAAAAATAAACATACTATTCATGTGCCTTGATATATATCTGAACTTGAATATCTATATCTATATCTATCTATCTATCTATCTATCTATCTATCTATGGAGAGAGAGAGAGAGAGAGAAAGAGAGAATTATATATACATAATTAATCATTACCGGTACTCTATACTTGTAAGCAACTTATGCACTACTACTACAAAACCTAAGTGTAGAAATAAAAAAATACGGGATACACTGCACATGGGCCACTTCAGGGATCACGAACTGAGAGCCCAGTGTCATCTGAAGCCACGAAAGAAAATTAATGACTCTCCTTCGAGGCTCTACTGAATCTGCATAATACCAGGGGCATTATTAAGAAGGATTTAAGCGAAGCAAATATTTATTCATCGAGAGTAGCTTAATGGAAGGCATGGGTGGTTCCTATTCCATCAAATTCACATAATTATTCCTAAATAAGAATAAAATTGGTAGTAGATAACAGAGGGTAAGATATGGAAATCATCTCTGCTGCCATTATCGAAATCTAGTTAACTCAAAATAATATTCTATTTCTCTTTTAAGTATAGTCGTTGTCACCATCACATTTCTCCTTCAGGTGAATTGAATATTTTAGGTATATTAAAAACATGATTCCTGTAATGAAGGGATTAAAGAAACTAATGTCAAAATTTCCTGTATTCTGATATTTTTGGGGGTATTACATGACAGTATTTATGTTCAAATTTCAATAACTTACATAGTTTATTTATCTTATACTATATTAGTCACTGGAAAGTTCTTAAAGATTTGATAAGTATAAATGACAACCCTGACTGACTTTCTACTGTGTGTGTGTACTCATACACACGCGCAAACACACATACACACACACACACACGTGTGTGTGTGTGTGCGTGTGTGTATGTGTGTTTGTGTGTGTGTGTGTGTGTGTTTGTGTGTGTGTGTGTGTGTGTGTGTGCGTGTGTGTGTGTGTGTGTGTGTGTGTGTGTGTGTGTGTGTGTGTGTGTGTGTGTGTGTGTGTGTGTGTGTGTGTGTGTGTGTGCACTCACACCCACACAATCACTCCCCAAAGATATAAGACACCAGTCCAAATAGTATATGCAACAATACCATCTACGACATTATTCAGAGCCCAGGTCTCGCTGGCTTGGGCCATCACTTGCAGGATGTATTCGTTGTGCACCTTTCTTTTAATCTGTATGCTTGCATTTCTGCTTTTCATGATGTTATCAACGTTACCGAAGGCTGCCCATCCCTGTGCAATGCGCCGCTCAAGTTCTGGGAATATGTACCCCTCCCGCGCTACCTTTCTGTCTAGGTATCTAGCTATTTACCGCTTCGATGTTCTTGTTATCGACGGTGATTTTGTAGATTTTGTGACGTGGTCGTTGAACCTTTGTCTTTCCCAGGTGCATCATTAGACCAACTGAAGCGCTGGTGTTGTGGATGTTCGCCAGTTCCTGCTATCATATTATCATCGGCGAAGAACAGGTGATTTAGGCGCTCACCATCGATGTTAATCCTTCAGTCTTACCACGCAATCTTGCCGATGACTTTGTCTTTCAGTGGCGTATATTTAGTTAAATATGTTTTTTTTTTAATTGTGAAAGTATGCGTGTTGTGTTCATATGTATCTGTACTGGTATGAAATATATGAGTCAATATAATCGTGTACATAAACATAAATATATGAACATAATTGTCGTATGTGTCTGTGTGTGCGAATATACATGTATTTGCAATTTAAAAAAAAAACAACAAAAAAACATGCTCTAGCAGCAGCTCCTTCGTGGTCACACTATCGAAAACACTCTTCTCCTTTCATGCAGACTTCCTGTACACGCTCTTCCCTTTGTGATAAACGTAGAGCAGGTTCTCCATCCGAAACTCCTCCTCGGGCGAAACGGCTCGACGACGCTCCACGAAGAACGGCGGGTAGTTCCTCGCCTTCCACTCGTGCGACGCCTGGCTCGCCGAATCCACCAGCCAAGGGGAAGGCCTCAGGAAGCGGTAACCGTCGGGGTACATCGAGCTGGAACGAGACTCCGATTGGACGTCGAGAAAGGTAACATCTGGCTACTTTATTTATAGCTTTGTTTTGGTTCATTTATCTTTGTTTGAAATATACTTTATACTTTTATATTCTCAAGCTCTACATCATATCCTACCGTAAGCATAACATCTCTACACTGTTGATATACCAGAAGAAAAGAAAGGCAGAAACATCCACCATACACCAGCTTATTTGCATATACACATTTTGTTGTTATAGTTATTTAAGCACTGTAGTATTTTTTACCATTCAAGAGAAAGGCCCAACTCACCAGTAAGGGGAGAGGGGGCAGCCTACCACATACAGAAGGCGACCCTGAAGATTGTACCGCAGTACCCCACGGAAGACCTCACGTGCTTCTTCGGGGTAGGCGTGTAAGCACTTCAAGGAAAAATATATATCAGGTACAAAGAGGTGACAAAAAAGTTCTCAGATATTTTGTTTCTAATGAGCCTACTTTCGGGAAAAAACAATATATATCGCAAAAAATATAATGAAATAATATGGGAATGCGCCAGTCTAAGCTATTTTCTATCATCGTAGTTATTGAAATTATTAGTATCATCATTATAACTTATCATTAAATCTATCTAGTTCAAAGAAGTGTCAAAAGTTACGTGCATCTAATTCTTAAGGAAATGACAGCAGGATCTTCGTTCATCCTCTGCTGGATATATACCATGCAACAATCCATGCAAAAATCAAGCTGATGAATACTTACCGCCTGCATGACATAGAAACTCTCATATTCATCATTTTTCGTCTTGATTTCAACGAAGAGCTTAAAGGGTCCAGGCTGAGGATTGGAAATTTATATCACAAATGACCCTCTTACAATGTGTGTCTTTTTAATCTATCTGTTCCTTGAGAATCATTTCGCTGTATCAGATGCTTTTGGAATAATCAAAACCTACTCAGGTATAAAGTGAACTAGAGTAGAATATAACCCTTCCATTTTCTTTGTAACAAATATATTATATAGTATTATCTTAAAATCAATATTAATGATGTTAATGCGGTACATGCAATAATCTCACATCTGCATATATCTATTGTACATTTTGCATTTAATTCTCCATCGTTTGTCCCAACCTCACC